TATAAATACATATATATGGAATGGGGGTAAAAAGGGGGAGGGAAAAAAACAGAGGGGGGGGAAAGGAGAAGACAAGGCACCTCGGACCGGCCCGCGGGATATCCCCGGGAAATCGTCCCGGTTTTGGGGCTCCGGGAGCAGCGGCAGCGCCGAGCTCCGAGCCCCTCCGACTCCGGGGAGGGGACACGGGACGTGGCAGGGGAGTGCGGGTCCTTTTATCCTTCCAAAAGCCCGAGTAAATCAACCGCATGCGTTTTGCCCCGTGCAATCATTTATCCTTAAAATTCCGATGTCAGTTTTATAAATCTCCTTCGTCAGAAGAGAAATTGGGCCCCCTAAATTACCGGGGGCTTGGAATTGCCCGGGGGGGGGTAGGGATGGAGAGCCGGGTTTGGGGGGGACGCCACAGCCTCTCCCCACGGTGTGCTACCCAATTTCAGTCCAGGGGACCGTGTCCCGGGATGCCGGAGGGCGCTGAGAGGGAATGCGAATTCCTGTGCCCCCTCTCCACGGGTTTATGCAACCAGGCATTTGTAAACCCCGGATTTCCCCCTCTTTCAGCCCAAAAACCTGCTCGGGCCGGGTCCGGCGGGTTCGAGGGCTGACGCTTTGCTCCCCAGGGGCTCTGGCTGGCACAGAAGGGGCTGCCTACCCCCCCAAAATGGAAGAGTGGCCCAGCGTGAACAGGACGGGCTTCCCCGCCCCGGGCCAGGCGGTCAACGGGCTCGACAAGGCGGCCCTGGAGGGGGACATCAAATACCCGCAGGTGACTGCTGGGGGGGCAGCGGGGGACAGGGGGGACAGGGAGGGGGGACAGGGAGAGGACGGGGTGGGCATTGGTGGGGCAGGAAGAGGGGCAGGGAAGAATAAGGCAGGGGGGCAGGGAGGGGACAGGGAAGGGGTAGATTTCCCACCGCTCCCATTCCCCCTCCGCCCGACCCCCATCTCCCTGAGGGGGACCCCGACCCCCAGAGCCGGGCGGGCTGTTCTGAGCCCCCCCCTCCCCAACTCTGTGCCTGTCCCCAGCCCGGCCCGGGGCTCTCCTCGATGGGCACCTTCCTGCCGGCCTGCGCCTACCCCCCCTCCACCCAGCCCGGCGTCTACGGCGGCTCCCCCGGCGGCTACATCGGCCCGGGCCCCCCCTGGCAGCCGCAGGGGACCCCCCTGGCCCACCACGGCCACGGCGTGACCGTCCACGGCGGAGACCTGCCCGCGGCCATGGCCTTCAAGCAGCCCGGGAGGGAAGGTGAGCGGGGGGACAGCGCGGGGGGACAGCGCGGGGGAACCCCGGGGGAGCTGCGGGAGGACCGGCCGGGGGGGCTCGGAGAGAGGGAGAGGGGCGGGACGGGGGTGAGGGGCTGGGGAGGGTCCCTCCACCTGAGCCCCCCCGGAATTCCAGTGGTCCCCGTCCGGCCCCTCCAGCCCCAGTCGGCACATCCCGGTTATAAACTGGAGATCGTTTTTCCTGCCCGTTGGCGCTCGCTGGGAACAGCCAGGGAAGCGGGAAGGTTCGGGGCGAACCCCGCGCTGTCCATCCCCCCCGGAATGTCGGGGTGCGGCGGGACAGAGCAGGAGCCTTTTCCCCACATCTCCCCCTGAACGAACAGGTCGGGAGCCTTGGGCTGCCGCAGAAAGGCAGAAGTCTTGACTGGGAATTCTTAATTCCTAGTAAATAGCCATTAATTATTAAGTCACGGCAATTATTTAACGATTTATGAATAATTACTAATTATTATAAGTAACTATTATTTTATTTAATTTGTTCCCAGAACTAATAATTGAACGCTCCCCCAAGAATCCCAAGGGAACAATTCGAGGCTGTTTAATGGGGCGGTTCTTTTGTCTTCTGTTAATTATTTCGTCTTATTTATGGAGCTCTGTTTCCTCGATGGGTGGATTCGTTTTTAATATCCCGATTTTTCCGCCCTGGGTATAAAATCCCCATCGATATTTTTGGCCTTTTCCGGCGGTATTAGACTTTCTATTATTTTAATTAATTTGTAATTAATTCCTCACTTATTAGCCCATTTTCATCTAGTTTTTCTGGGGTTTTAATATTTTTTTTGTTTGGTTTGGTTTTTTTACCTTTTAGCATTTCTACCTTGTTCAATCTGTTGCGAGTAATCAAGGGGTGAGAACATATAATTTAAATCGATTATTTAAAGGGGGGGGGGAAAGAGGGAGAAACAGAGAGCGAGAAAGCAAGGGGAAGGAAGGAAAAGGAATAAAAGAAAACGAGAAAAAAAAAGGAGAGAAAAAAAGGAAAGAAAAAAAGGATATAAAACGACCAAAGGCAGAAATCCGACCTGTGCACACTTAGTGTATTTTTGAGGTATCTTAAGTGACTTGTAGCCCCGAGTTTTCTGATTTGCCGATTTTCAAGCTGTTATACCCAAAGGCTCAGAGAGTTTTCTAAACGTTTGTGGGGTTTTGTTTTGCAAGGGGGTTTTTTGGTTGGTTTTCCCTGGGGTTTTAAAAATCAATTTCCCCTTCAAAAACTTTTTTTTTTTTTAAATTCATTTCGAACCGGTTTTCTGGTTCTGCCACTTATTCGAGATATCCCAAATATTGGATTATCCGGCCAAAAGCCTCCCCCCGCTCTGCCCCGAGCAGGGGACTGGAGGGGAAAGGGCGGTCGCCCCTTGGGATGGGCTGAGGGGGGTCCTGGCCCCCCGAACCTGCAGCGAGAGCGGGGAAAGGATGGAAAGAAGGAATGAGAAGAGCGGCAGACAAACCCAGCCGGGCAATTTCCACCTTGTCATTCCAGACCTTTTCCGAATTCACAGATTTTCACTGAGAACTCCCCCTGCTCCTGGCAGGGATGAGTATCCCCCTCTCCGAAGGCAGCGGGTGGGTGGTGAGGGGGATTCCCGCGGCCTGGGCCAGGCTTGGGCGGAGCTGGGGCTGGGATGAAGCTCAGCAGGAGTGTCACTGCCACTGGGATGGTGTGACGGTCCCGTCCCCTTCCCCTTCCCGCCGCTGGCGGCACAGTCCTCTCCCAGGGCACTCCAGCTTTAAGGAGGTGCGTGGGATGTGTTCTGTGAGTGGCTGGGACTGGTGTGGGTCCCCTCCCCAGGTAAATCCCTGGCAATGCCATCACCACGGTCCCTGTCACTGGGGGGAAGCATTCCCCTTTTCCCTCTCTGTTTCGCCCGGGTACAGGGAGCCTGGCAATCCCTTTCCAAAGGGGTGCCTTTCCCAGTGGCTGGATGAGGAGGCCTGTGGGGCAGAACTGCTCTTGGGGGGCTCTTGGAGGAGGTTCTACGTGCTTGGAGTCCATCAATCCCCTGCCTTGTTGTCTGGTTTTTCCCTCTCCACCTTTCTTGCAGTCGTGGACAGAAAACCCACCAGCCCTGTGGGGAAACCTCCGGACCCTCTAAACACCATCCATGGACTCTCTATCCCAACCTCCTCGTCCTAGAGCCCTGGAGCAGCTGCCGAGAGAGAGGGACTCTTGGAATAAGCACCTGCAAACTGTAACTGAAGCCTGAAGTGCCATCGAACTGTGCCCAGAGTGTCACTGCCACTGCAGGGACGAGGAGACAGCCTGGGCAGTGAGAGGTGACTTTCTTCCGTGGCAAATCCTGGTCAGGACATTCCCAGAGGGACACTTTACCTCCACTGGATTGGAAAGGGGTGACAGACAAGACTCGGTCTTCCTTCTTTGTTTTGTGTTTTTCACCCCTTGCTTTCAGTTGTTCTTTCTCGTCCCCTGTGTCCCCGAAGACTGTTGGATGCAGTGAGTGCCTCCATCCCCAGCCACTGCTGGGACCGTCCCTGGCTCTGTCCCAGCCCAAGGGAGCAATTCCTGGCTTTCCCACGCCGGAGCATCCATGCTGGAGCCCTTTCTCCGTCCACCTTCCAGTGCCTCTGCCCCAGAATAGGAATGGACAGAAGTGCCACAACGTTTTATGATATATTTTTCTAATAACAAACCTTAATAAAAAGTGACAGCTGTGGGCACACGCTCCCTCTCTCCCTCCCTCTCTCCCTCCCTCGGGGTCTGGCTGAGCACCATCCCTTGTCCCGGGGTCTCCCAGCCTCAGGCAGCACCTGTGAGTGGTAGGACCCTGTGGGATCTCGGGTGGGATCTTGGAATCGCCCTGTGCCAGGCCTGGATTTGTGTCCCCACCCCTGTGTGAGTGCGTGGCAGCTCTGCACCCCACGCTTCATCCTGGGGTTCTCCTGCATCCAGGGGGTCCGCGGCCTCACTGGGTGACTCCTGGAGGGGCTGCAGGGCAGTCCTGGCCACCACCCACTCACTTTGCCCAGTCCCGGGGGCTGGTGGGGGCTGTCCACCCCCCAGGCCTTGTGGCCCTGTCACCCCCTCCTGCCCACCCGGCTGGGGCGGCTCAGGATGGGCTCCAGGGGCTCTTGCATTCCCTGGCTCCGCCAGCCGCTGCCATTGGCGTCGGTCCCTTCATTGTCTGGAGAAGGGGAAGGTCCTCCAGCGGGGCAGGGAGGAAATATCCTGGCAGGAGAATACACGCCTGGCTTTCTGCAGAGAGGGCGTCTCTGTGGGAGGGAGAGCGGGAGGCAGGGGGATGCCAAACACATCCCACCGTAGGAAATTAGTTTGTCTTCGTCCTCGGGGTGGCAAGAGGCAGTTCTGCCTCCGCTGCTGCGAAGCCTCCGGCCGGAGCCGGGCTGTGCATCCCGCGGCAAACTCGGGAGGGGAAGGAGGGAATTTTAAGTAGGTGAGAGGATTGTCCCAGGGCAAGATCTGCTCCCAAACTGTCACTGGCTGGATTCTAAAGGATGTGAGGACGGAGGAGTCACCTGAAACAGATGCCTGGTTACTCCCCTGCCGGGTTTATCCATTTAAAGCTACATTCCACTGCGTGGCAGAGCAGCTTTGGAATGATGGTGGACAGCAACACCCTTAAAGCGTTGGTGTTTGCTGTGGGCTGGGTTCTCAGCACCCCACTGCGACTCCTCATTCCCATCCCAGGTGGGATGGGCAGCGCTCCTGCACCCTCTGGAGGTGGGACAGGGGGCTCTGACTGACCTGGGATGGGCAAGGCAGGAGTGCTGGAGTTGGGCAGAGACACAGTGCAGGGTCCAACCCTTTCCATCGGTGTCAGAGTCCAACCCTTTTCATCAGTGTCCTGCTGGGATTTTGAGTGAGTGCCTGAGTTATTCCCTGAGTTATTCCCTGAGTTATTCCCTTCCAAGGCTGCCACGGACCTACCAAAACCTGGGACAGCAGCTGGATGCTGAGCGTCCCCCACAGCCCCAAGGCAAAGGGCAAGGGCCGTGTCCCGAGCCCCAGGACCTCGGCCTGCAGCCCCATCCATGAGCTGTCAGGTGGAATTTGCCACCAGAGGGAGACCCCCCCTTGTTCCAGAGCCAGGGAAGAGCCTCCTGCAGCAGCCGGCGGGGAAGCCTCACCTTCCCGGAGGGAAAGAACGGGCACATGGAGCGTATTCCCAGCTGCAACCTGTTCCACTGCAGGGACTGAGGGGCCACAAGAGCAGCCCCTTTTGTGCACTCAGGCTTCTGGTTCCTGCTCTTTTCTTGGCTGTTGGACTGGCAGCAGCCCCTGCTAAAAACGTGATTTTAATGATTTTGTTTGGAGAAGGGATTTTCTCATTAAAAAATGCAACCCCAAACGCGTCTCCGTGCCCAGCAGAATTTCTGGTGCAGGCAGAGTGACCAAAAAGCCAAACCTGGTGGCCTGTCCCCTGCAGATCCACTGTCACCTCCTGTGTCAGGTGCAGGACACCGTGGATTGGTGTCCCCAGTGAGGAGGGTTAAGGAAAAGCCTTGCTGGGTGGAAAACACTCTCAGTACCTGTAGTCCCCCAGGAGCAGGTGGAGTCCTTCCTGGAGGCCTGCAGCCACGGGGAGAATCCTTGGAGGAATTCAATGCCTGCCCCACGCACCTCAGGTAAGTCATTCCCTGCAATGGAAAAATTCTGGGAGCAGAGACCCCAAATAAATCCCGAAATATAATCAGTCCCATAAGCAGGGGGACGTGAGGTGCTGCTCTGCCCTGCCACGAGCCAGGCTCACAGCAGATTCCTGCTGCACAGGCAGACTGACACAACCCAGAGAAAACTGGACTGGAGGGGAGCAGAACTTTTGGGACTGATGTAACAAAGCGAGAGGGTGGAAACAATAAGCTCTGACACTTCTGCAGTGGTGGTTTTGCCGAAATTGATATCACCCCTTGGAACGTGTCAGTTCTCAAAATCAGACTGGTGCAAATCTTTCGGGTTCTGTGCAGCTAAATCCTCATCCTCGAGGAGGAACACACAGGAATCCGAGCCCAGCTCTCCAGAGAAGCTGCAAATCCAACCAGCATTTGCGAAGTTATAAACCTGCCCACAACTGCTTAAGCTGTGTTAGAAAATGGGAATTTAATTCCCAGATCGCTCAGGCACTTCATAACGTTTCCTCTTAATAGGCAGTGTTTCAGTTCAGGTGGGGGACTGGGCTGGACCAGCCCACCAGCAGGTTTATGGCAGTGCTGGTGGCCATGGAGACCTTCCCCACAACCCTTCCTGGCTGCTCACAGCCCATGGCCAGGGAAAATCCCAGCTCAGCTCCTCATTTCACAGCTTGGGATGCCTAATAACTGTCCCAAACCATGGGGTCTTCATTGATTTCCTGAGGGGGTCCTGAGGTGGGCAACCACCAGAAAAAAGGTTGATTCTCACGCTGCCAACAATTTCTAGGGAAGAATCTAGATTATTTACGTCAATTTGAGGGAACCTGGAGTTTTCAGTGGAATTAGACAACTGTGGTACTGAAAGTCACCCCTTTGCCCAGCGTCTGCGTGCTGAGCTCTGCCCTTCCCTGTGGGATGGCTCTGGGGTGGAACCCCCCAGCCCCACAGGGAGAGAGCAGTGCCTGTGTTCCCCAGGGAGTCCCCAGAGCGATGGTGAGAATCCCCCCAGCCGCAGTTCTGTCAGGGAAGCCCCCACTGACATCGGCACCTCGTTCAGCTGCAATATTTATGTCGTTGCTCGGTGTCCCAGCCAGCTGCTCCCGAGGTGAGAACAGGCTGGAGAACAGGCTTTTATTCCCTGGAGGTGCTGAGAGAGGTCTGTGACCTGAAGGTTTAGAGGGAAAACATAGAGGGTGTGTGGTGTGTGCGGGGACCTGCAGTCACCCGGGCTGGAGCTGCCGCAGCAGGAGAGTGAAAGGAGCTCAGCTGTGCCCGGGTTCTGACAAAGGCTCCCCTCAGCAATTTGTAGAAAGCTGGCGATGATAAATCGAAGGAAAAAATTTCCTGAACCCTAATTATAGTGTTACTCAGCCACCAAGAAGCTCTGTGGGTTTCGGTCTCCTTGCAGAAGCTTCCAAGTCGACGGATTTCGGAGCAGGCTGGGGAAGGAAGATCAATGACTCGCGCAGGGATGACAAGTCTGTCCTTCCTCGACTTGGTACTACCGATAGGAATGTAATATTTCCCCTGGGAAAACACATCCCCCCCATCCTATCCCCCCTCCTGCAGCATAGATATGAAAGCACTTTTAATCTCAGAGTTATATGAACCTGGCAAGGCAGAGCAGAGCTTTCGCTGCGGCTCTGCCGGAGATAGCACTGTTTTGGCACCGGCTTCCCAGAAAGTGATGTCATGTGGAATTTATATGCCAGAGTTTTTCCCCTTTCTTCTTCAGATTTGTGGCAATGTCAGAGTTCTTCTCTGGAGCAGATCTGGTTTTAATATTTCGTATTTACGTTTTTCATTTTGGGGGCCGGCCTGGAACCTCTCCTTGGTTTCGACCTCGCAGATGCCGACGCGACGGAGGCCGGGACGAGCGAGGAAGAGGAGCTGGGAGGGATAGATGGGCAGCCTTCGCTTCCTCAAGCCTCGAGAAGCGGCCTTAAAATAGTCCCTGCTTATTTCTTAGGAGCTGTAATTGCCTCTGCTCCGACCCGCCGCTGTTCCTGTGCCCCTTCCCGCAGGGAAGACCTCCCTGTGCCAAAAAGGAGGCCTGGCCAGCGGATCCCGGCTGTGGTGGCCGTGCCGGAGCTGCCAAACCTCACGGCTCACATAAAGTCCCAGGGATGTGCAAGACCCAAGGGCCAGCCCTGGCCCAGCAGGACCATGCTCAGGGTCCCACAGTATCCATGTCCTGGGGGTGGAACACACCGGGAGAGGGACACGGTCGCCCTTTGTCTGATCCCAGTGGAGCACAGGAGGCTTGTGGAGTTGTGCAGGGTTGGGATCCACAGCAGCAACCCCAGCTCCTCACATCCCTTGGGCTGCAGCTGCCTGGTGGTCCCTGGGGATCATCCAAGGGAGAAAGTGGGCTCACAATAACCAGCGGGGATAAAGGCAGCTTTGGGCAATCCTGGTCCCAGTTGTGTCGTGCCACGAACCCTTTTCTGCAGAAACACTCTGAAGCCAGCAGGGTGTTTGTCTTTTTTTCTTCCCCGGGTTGCCAAAAGAGTCATATTTTAAAGTTGG